AGGCACTGCCATTTCAGTCTAACATGTGCCTCAGAGTGGAGTGGCGGGGGGGGGGGGGGAAGGGGGTGGCTGTGGAAAGAAGCGATGAGTTCAAGCAAATGTTAAACCGCATCCTGTTATGTATCCATTCCCTTGCCTCTCTCTCAATCCTTCCGCATACGCGTATCAGGTATGCATGCTAAGTTGTTTGTTGCTAGGTATAAAAGGGCTTGCTCCGCACTTGTAAGGGGCTCTCTCTCTGGCATTAGCCGAGGAGAGCGCCCACTCAGCTGACCGGTCAATAAAAACTTAAAGCCGTCTTCTAGACTCCCGTGCCTCCTTGGGGTAATTGGGCAGCTCCAGGGGGAAACGAGCCCATTTGGCTAACATACCTGCTCCCCCAGGTCTCCTCCTCCTCCCCGAACCCTCCCCAGCTTTATCTGTGCAGGGGGGCGATTTTCAAAAGTGCCCCCCTGATTTAGATGCCCAGGCCCCATTGGCTGCCAGCGTGATCCATGCTCCTCAATCACTTCGGTGCTTTTGAAAATGCCTCCCCCACATAAAAATGAAACCCTCTGAAGTGAGGAAATAATAGTCGGGTTCCCTGTGCAGCCTCAGCTCTGCCCTTTGCACCGCCGCAGGCTGGTGCACTCTGGAATTACACGATCGCGTTCTATCTCCGTGGGGCCCTGCCTGGTTCACTGCGCTGTGGGGACACTGCGGGGTCTCTTCTGTTCAGTCCTACATAGGTTCTTACCCTCTGCTTCTCTCTGCAGTGTCTGGGCCCGGTCTGGCTGTGCATTAACCACTGTCACTGTCACCTGGCCCGTGTTTGGGTTCTCTGCTCCCCAGCGGGAGAACTAAGTGTCTTGTTTCCATACGGTTTTTTGAAAGATACATTTTGTTTTGTTTCAGAAGGTGTGGGATGTGAGGGTGGACGGCCGGGGACTAGTTGCAATTTCTGACGAATAGGGAGGAGCTGGCTGTGAATCTGAAGGTGGAAGGCAACTTGGGGGAAAGTGACCACAGAGTTTGTGATCCTGGGGGAAGGAAGGAGGGGGAGCAGCAGCATAAAGACAATACACTTAAAAAGCCGATTTCAACAAACTCGGGGACTCGTTTGCCTGGTTCTCTGCCCTCGATCGGTGGGGGGGACTCTCCCATCATTGAGGGGTGAGGGGGGAACAGCCAGCACCCTAGGGCCACACCTAGAGCAATTGATTTAAAGAGGCTGCAAAGACGCGGTCGCTTTTTGTTGGGGGGTGTCAATGCCTGAGGCCTGGGCGTGCGAGGGTTAACGGGCCCTGACCAGCTCCCAGCTGAGAACCCCTTGCTGGAGATGTACAAAAGGCTCTTTAAAGGCACAAATCCCATCATGTCCCCTGTGCTCCCCAGCCCCGGTCACACGAGGCTCTCAGAGCAGCCTGAGGCCTTGCCAGCCGAGT